CGATGATCATCAAGGGGCCCCACTGGCTGTTTAGCAGGCTTCCTGCTTCTGATGTACTTAAAAAACATTTTGTTATTACATTTGGAGTTTTTGGCTAGCCCTTCTTCAAACTCCTATTTGGCTTTTCTTATTACATTCTTGCACTTAATTTGGCAGTGTTTATGCTCCTTTCTATTTGCCTCACTAGGATTTGACTTTGACTTTTTAAAGGAAGTCTTTTTATCTCTCACTGCTTCTTTTACATGGTTGTTAAGCCACGGTGGCTCTTTTTTAGTTCTTTTACTGTGTTTCTTAATTTGGGGTATACATTGAAGTTGGGCCTCTATTATGGTGTCTTTAAAAAGCGCCATGCAACTTGCAGGGATTTCACTTTAGTCACTGTACCTTTTAACTTCTGTTTAACTAACCCCCTCATTTTTGCATAGTTCCCCCTTTTGAAATTAAATGCCACAGTGTTGGGCTTTTAAGATGTTGTTCCCAGCACAGGGATGTTGAATGCTCTTTTACCACTCTTTTTCCTCTAGCTCCCTCACCTACTAGTCTTCTCTCTCACTCTGTGCTTTTTGTTCTGTGGTTTAGTATAGATCTTACATTATGGTAATAACCATTTACTATAAAAATATATAAATTTATATAAAATTTTGTCAGGATAATTATTTCTAACCCTCTTTGGTGCACTCTATCCCTTCTGGGACAAAAACATTTTAAGGTACCGAAACTATACATGTTGTCCCTTGGTTGTGTGCTGTTAGTGACTCAGAGCTATGATTGTATCTGAAATCGGCATGGAGATTATTCTGGTTTGTGGTTAAAACACCATTAGTCACACTGCAGGATTTGTCAAGCCTGATATGTATTTTCCTTTAACTGCTTTGTGTTTTGTTCTTGTTGCGGATGTAACATTATGCTGTTACCTACTGAGCTCATTTAAGTTCTAGCTTGTTTTGAAAATCAATGCTTTTTAAAAAATGGACAGATGAGTGCTCAATAGTTTCTACTAGTTGTTCTGGATAGTAAAGAAAAATGTTGAGCAGGTACTCATATTATGGTGCTTATAGCCATAGGCTAGTTTCTGACTGACATTGGCAAGTTTCTGGTATAGGTTTAGTTCCCTTATAATAGATTTTTAGTAGCGATGTGGGACATAGTTGAGAGGAAATAAAAAAGCTTCCACTCCCATGCCCAATCTTGGTCTAGGTTTGGAAGCCAATCAAAACCTTTCTTTGATTACGGGGAAGTTAATTTCAGTTCAAGCTAAATATGAGTCAACGGTGTAACGCTGTTGCAAAAAGCAAACATCATTCTGGGATGTATTAGCAGGAGTATTGTAAACAAGACACGAGAAGTAATTCTTCCGCTCTACTCTGTACTGATTAGGCCTCAACTAGAGTATTGTGTCCAGTTCTGGGTACCTCATTTCAGGAAAGATATGGACAAATTGGAGAAAGTCCAGAGAAGAGCAACAAAAATGATTAAAGGTCTGGAAAACATGATCTATGAGGGTAGATTGAAAAAATTGGGTTTGTTTAGTCTGGAGAAGAGAAGACTGAGAGGGGACATAACAGTTTTCAAGTACATAAAAGGTTGTTACAAGGAGGAGGGAGAAAAATTGTTCTTAACTTCTGAGGATAGGACAAGAAGCAGTGGGCTTAAATTGCAGCAAGGGCGGTTTAGGTTGGATATTAGGAAAAACTTCCTGTCAGAGTGGTTAAGCACTGGAATCAATTGCCTAGCGAGGTTGTGGAATCTCCATCATTGGGGATTTTTAAGAGCTAGTTGGACAAACACCTGTCAAGGATGGTCTAGATAATACTTAGTCCTGTCTTGAGTGCAGGGGACTGGACTAGATGACCTCTCGAGGTCCCTTCCAGTTCTGATTCCTTTGGGAACACAGGATATGGGATTTCTATGGGTATCCAGTGAACAGGGGCTAGATACACTTAGACTGCCTAAGTGGTGATCAGGCTGGTTGTGTTAAGGAGCTAGCAGGTACAGGTAAGACTCCCTCGCTCTGCAGGCAGATGGTAACAAGATGACGCACAGCCCTTCATGCACTGAGAAGCATTACAGTCATTTCAGCATTTGTGACATCACAAATGTCAGTGTCTGTGACATGCCTTTCTGATCTGTTATGCCACAAGCAATAAACTGTGATAGCGCTGTGACACATAGACAGGAAGAGACCAGTGATGGCAGAAGAGAACAGTAAACATGATCATCACAACAAGGATGTCAAAGGATTATAACCACCCCACATTCATTCAATATTTACTTGCTTGGACACTACTAACCTCTGCATGGAATGTAGAATTTATTGATGCAAGTAAAGGAAAAAGTACACGTGAATCAACTTTGTTGCATTTTTCTGATTACATAAATGTCTATTGTTCATCCATTGAGAATGAGAATTGCATTGAGAATGCACTAGAAAAAGAGACAAAAGGTGGAGAAAAGGGATGTGCTCTTCTCGAGGGGAGGGTGGTACTTGAACACTATATCACAGTTTACAGGGTTTACCTTACACCACCGCTCAAGTCATATGCACAGCACTTGAGTTCAGATATAAAACAAAAGGAAATATATTTAAGAAAAAACAGAGATTCAAATAAAAAGCAGTGAGAGATGGGAACAAAAAGTTATATGTAAAACAACATACCACAATGCATATTCTAAAGCCTAAATTTAACAAAGGGCAGGTCCACACTGGGGCGGGGGATCGATCTAGGAAACGCAACTTCAGCTACGAGAATAGCATAGCTGAAGTCGACGTTTCCTAGATTGAACTAAATTTACTTACTGCGGGTCCACGCGGCGCAGGCAAGCTCCCCCGTCGACAGCGCTTCCTCCTCTCGGCGAACAGGAGTTCCGCAGTCGATGGGGGAGCGCTTCTGGGATCGATCTATCGCGTCCAGATGAGACGCGATAAATCGATCCCAGAAGATCGATCTCTGTGGACCAGCCCTAAGAAGTTATCCTCCAGTCTAAAGAAGTTTATCTCACCCTAACTTCTCTCTAGTGTTTTCCACCAAGCTTGGGTAGAGATCCTTTTTTCATAAAGCAAACTGCATTTACTTCCTAGATGAAGAATACCAGGATGTCTCTTTGCTCCTCTAAATATACCAGAATAGACCTTTGATGTTAACCTCAAGATAAGGTTCCCCCATCACCTGTTTATTTCTTCCTGTTAGATTTTTTCTGAAGTCTCCACCATCTCTTAATTAGCATTTATCTTAGAATGCTAGTAGACTCCTTTTGTAGGACACATTACACAGTGGTTCCCCCCACTTCCCCCGGAGATAAGTGTCTCCCATCAAATGCTAGAAGAATTTGTCTCAAGACAGACTACTTTTGAGTGACCTGTTTTTAACTGTGACCTAGAGAACATAAACTTTAAATATATACATAATTCTTCACATATTCTCCATACATACATCTCACAATGTTTATGATGACCGGTGACTTTCATTAGAGACTTTACATGACATTCTTTTGGTGAACCCTAGAAATCTCTGTACCCCTCTACACCCCAGTGCCCTCTGCCAGTTGGCATCCAGAGATTCTTGGGTCATGCAGACTGTAAGATTCTCTGAAGGAATGTGGCCTCTTCTGTTGAGTCATCTTAGCTGCAGGGGCTAAAGCCCTGTAATGGAATTCAAGGTGGCAATTATGATGACTTGTGCAGGGGTTCTCAAACTGGGGGTCGGGGCCCCTCAGGGGGTCGTGAGGGTATTACATGGGGGCCACGAGCTATCAGCCTCCACCCCAAACCCCACTTTGCCTCCAGCATTTATAATGGTGTTAAATATATTAAAAGTGTTTTTCATTTATAATGGGGGTCTCACTCAGAGGCTTGCTATGTGAAAGGGGTCACCAGTACAAAAGTTAGAGAACCACTGAGTTAGTGCCAAGAGAGATGTAAGGAGCTAGGACAGAGGTGGCCTTGGAGAAAACCGTAAAAACAGCCATTCTTATAGATGAAAAATAGGCTGAAGTTAAAAATTCCAGAGAGGAGGTAAATATGGACCCTATAGGCTGTGCACTTTGTTGAAAGTGGGATAGGGACTTGGCCCATTAACAGGGTATTACAGAAGGAATCTCTTAGGAAGAGGAAGTTTCCGGTTAAACTCATTAACCTCTCTAGTGCTGCCATTTTAAAAGTTAGTAGGGTTTTTATAAACTTTAAAAAAAAAATTGTTAGAAAAATTGCTAGATTTAATTATTTTTAAGTAACAGTCTGTGTACTCTGAAACAGGTAACAATTTAGTTATGTGACCCTATGAAATCCCCACTATTAAAGCTTCAACTTGACTATATCTGTTTTTCTCCGTGTGAGGGTGAGGGGGTGGGGAGTTAAGCAGAAATGCTACCCATCTGTCTCAACAGGCTGGGGAACTTCATGGAGCCAGTGGCGAAAGGGAGGGAGAGAGACTCTGGGAGGCACCAAGGAGCTCCCCTTTCCCTCCCCCTTTTGGAGGCTAAGGCACCCATTGGTCAGCGAGGGGCAGAAGGGATGCTGATTGGCTCACATTCCCCAGCTCCAGGGATTTAACTTGGGGTACTGTTGGGTGTTTTTTAAAGCAAGTGCCCCAAATCATCACAGTACTGTGGTATCAAGGTCCTATCTCCCCACATCCATTTTAGGGCCAGCCAGGATAATTTGCTTTACCAGAGATCAAAAGCTTTAGCTATTTGAATTTTGCCTATAACTAAGTCACTGAGCTGGTATTTGACTTTACCCCTAAACAAGAAATACACTTGAGTCACAAGTAATGCAATCTGCAGACTTTTAAAAATAATAGTTGGTGGTTGTAGTGGAAGTTTAGGGTGAAGAAATCCCATAGTGTTATATCCGTATTCACTGAGACATGGATTCTCCACTGAAGACTCTGGCTAAATACACCAGATGAAATTTGCCTTGAAAAAGTGAAAGAACAACATACCTCTGTCAGCCAGTTAAGGCTTTGTGTGGTAAAATACTTTTTTTTTCATTTTGCTTTCAGATTTCTGGGATGTGCTACAGCAGTAGTGTGCTAAAAGTTCATCAGGTGCTTTGTGTTCCCAGCTGGCTGGCAAAGATATTTTCTTGGACTCTTGAACCAATATTCTCATCTGCAGAACCATCCAACGAGATTCGAGTAGGGATGGGAGCAACAGTGGACATCCAGAGACAGCAGAGAATGGAGTTACTGGATCGTCAAATCATGATGTCTCAGTTTGCACAAATGAGACGGCAAAGACAACAGCAGGTATAAATAAATTATTTGTTAAAGTGTATGATTATGCTGAGTAATGGAAATATGGAGGGAAGGGGGTTTTGGCTAATCATAATTTGTGGATCTAATTTAGGAACCAGTATAGTTTTGTTTTTAAAAATTTTCCCAATTGGAATTATGTAATTAGTATTTCATAGACTTCTGTAATGTTAGTGAACATTTATGTAGGTTTTATATTATTAAAGTTCATTACAAGACATGAACTAATTTTCACAAAACAACTTAGGGGTAGGTAGGTGGCATCGCACTGTTTTACCAGTAGCAAAGTATGCCTCAGGTGTGAAGTGATTTAACAAAGCCCACAGTTGTGAGGTTATGCGGGGACTAGAACCCAGGACTGCAGGTTGTTTGATGGCCATTACCTCTGTGCTGCTACCCAGCAGCCATGTTGGACCTGTGTACATTGTCACATAGATGATCCTGCAAAGATAAAGACCACAGGAAGTACTACCTCAGAAGGCTGTACTGACAGCTTCTTTCATGGCTCCGAATTGGTCCAGGCACTGTATTTAAGCCCAGAAGGAGTTCCAGGAAATGTCCATGCAACAAGGTGGACTCCCCTGCCAGCCGTAGCAATGGACCTGCCTCTCGGCTCGCTCTCCTGGCCCTGGCTGTGACCCTTGGCTCTGATTCCTGGTTCCTGACTACAGCTCTGACCTTTGGTGCTGTTCCTGGCCTCTGACCACTACTACTTGGAGCAGTAGGCCTGGCTGACCAGGGTGTGTGACAGTGCCACAATTAAAACTCAGCATGTCCTGATGCTCCAGACCATGCTGGCAGTCAGAAAAGTTACCATCCTCTTCAGCGAGTTTGAAAGTCAGCGCTGTTGTTCGGTGTTTTGCATGGGTAAATAGGAGGGATTACATCACCCATATTGCACAATGCTTGTTTCTTTATGAAAGCACACAAAATTCTTGATCTCTAATTTTCCTGTAGATGTCAACCACAGTGCTTGCCTGTTACTGCTTTTAGTGCTTACATTTTATTGCCTATAAATTAGATTGTTAGTCTCTTTATTTTTCTCAGTTTTGATGGAGTGGACAAGGGCAGGTGCTCACCTACTTGTCCCTGTAAGACAGTAAAATAAAGCAGCTGATGCCTCGATTTGTATTTCTCCTAGGATCCTAGAGTGTATATATTGACAGTCTAGTAAAGCCAGGTGAACATGTGGGCTCCATATGAACCTCTGGTTTCTGTAACTAAACTACAAGCTACATAAGAATGAATAATTGTCTGTGTGAGATCTGAATTGCATTTTATTCCTGTGAATTTTAGCCATATAGTAGTACATTCAGCTGCTATGTTATGTGCTGGGTGGAGCTAGTATGGAAAGAAAGGGAGGGGAAAGATCTGATCTGAATGAACAAGATGTGCTAATGTAAAAAGTTAAAACTAGTTGCTTTAAAAGTGTGGTTTGCATTAGGGTTGAAAACACTGATAGACTTCTCTTATATCTACTATTGAATTTAATTTAGCCTAAAAGAGTCAATAGGATGATATCTGTCTGAAGATGTGGGGAAAACATGAGGGGTTCGGCTCTCCTGGCATTCTGGGTATCATTTTCAAGGGAAGATAGTTTATAACAGAGAGATCTTTGTATTTAAAAAGGAGAAGAATGACTCAGCTGCGGGAATACACTAAATAAAATGCTAGATAAAAATCACAGCTTGGGTTGAAAAGGACGCCTGGGTAAGCTAGTCTTTCTGCAGAAAAGGACGTAGGGGTTACAGTGGATGAGAAGCTGGATATGAGTTAACAGTGTGCCCTTGTTGCCAAGAAGGCTAACGGCATTTTGGGCTGTATAAGTAGGAGCATTGCCAGCAGATCGAGGGACGTGATCATTCCCCTCTATTCGGCACTGGTGAGGCCTCATCTGGAGTACTGTGTCCAGTTTTGGGCCCCACATCCAGAAGGACGTGGAAAATTTGGAAAGAGTCCAGCGGAGGGCAACAAAAATGATTAGGGAGTTGAAGCACATGACTTATGAAGAGAGGCTGAGGGAACTGGGATTATTTAGTCTGCAGAAGAGAAGAATGAGGGGGGATTTGATAGCTGCTTTCAACTACCTGAAAGGGAGTTCCAAAGAGGATGGATCTAGACTGTTCTCAGTGGTATCAGATGACAGAACAAGGAGTAATGGTCTCAAGTTGCAGTGGGGGAGGGTTAGGTTGGATATTAGGAAAAACTTTTTCACTAGGAGGGTGGTGAAGCACTGGAATGGGTTACCTAGGGAGGTGGTGGAATCTCCTTCCTTAGAAGTTTTTAAGGTCAGGCTTGACAAAGCCCTGGCTGGGATGATTTAGTTGGGTATTAGGTCCTGCTTTGAGCAGGGGGTTGGACTAGATGACCTCCTGAGGTCCTTTCCAACCCTGATATTCTATGATTCCCTTTGCAGAAATGTACTGAGGGGTTGTCCTGTACTGTGTGTTAACACTACATGAATTTTACCTAAGGCAATTTAGAACAGCTCTAGTGTCAGTCCTTCATTTACCTTCCTGGTAACATAATTCTATTCTTCATAGTTAGCTTCACTTCAATTTTATTAAATTGCCTTGTTGTACAACCCAGACAGTTGCAAATGACCTTTTCTCTGCCCTTCCAGCAATCACTTTTAACCTAGTGTTTCTTGTCAAAACTAAACTGGGAACTGTTCAATGCTTCAAAGTTAGTTGTTGTAATAGGTACTAAACTGAAAGTGGCTGTTTGGCCACAAACTGCTGTAAAAGGGGTAGCTAAACTTCTGGGAAATAAGAGGAGGCAGAAAGGACCCAAATAATCAGGAGAACTTTAAAAAGGATTTTAAAAAATTAAAAATAAATAGTAAATACATTCAAAATAGTAGGTGAAAAAATGTGTCCCTATTGTTTTGTCCTGTCCTTCTCCTAAGAACTGTTTTCTATTGTGGAAGGATGCACTGAATTATCCACCTCATGCCAAAAATAGTTTTTGAAAAAGTTCTTAAAAAAACAAAAATGAACCATATTTTAATAGCATATCTTAATTTTTCTTTGCCCTACACTTCCACTGCAACCACTGTTCCCATTACCAGGTTATTGGTGCACTTCAGTCAAATAAGAAGGCAGTTAGCCTTTGGCTTACCTCTTCATAATGCACATGACGCATTCACCGATACCCTACTCATATCCTTGAGTCCCTTATTGCTATATTAGTGAATGCCCAGCAAAGTCAACGAAGGGAAGGTGATGGTGTTAATCTATCAACCCTTTAGAAAGGTCTGGTATGCAAAGCTAGTAACCAGTTTTTCTTGACTCATACAATTTACTGGATGCCAGTCAAATCACCAAAAGCAGGGCTCAGAGATTCCAGTATGGGGGTTGATGCAAAAATGAAAAATGGTCCAATTCATGATTGAATACTTGAATGTTTTAAAATATAACCAAACTACTTTAACCTGCAACAAAAAAAGCACATCTGTCCAATATTTTTGAACATTAACATTTGATAGATATACCTGATCTGCTAAATAAATTTGAGAGAGAGAGAGAGAGCGAGAGCAATTTCACTCAGTTTAATAAAATCGCTAGAAACAACGTATCATGGGTGTTGTAATGATTCTTACTGTGTAATATAGTAACATCCTGTTTAATAGAAAGATCTGATGGCTATATTCCTGTATAATGTCTCTGAAAAAAAGCTAATTGCTGTAATGATTGTTGTTTCTGATATTTACATAGCAGTGATTTGTAAACTTGTTAAAACTTCCTAAATAAATAGAAGATTGAGGTCTAACATTGTCCTCGCGTTACTCTTGTGCAAAACTGTTGCTTTCAGTGAGGTTGCACAGGTGTAACTGAGTGTGTAATCTGAAGACAGTGAGGTTGCACAGATGTAACTGAGTGTGTAATCTGAAGACAGTGGAGTTGCACAGGTGGCCTTACAGTTAGAACCTAGATAATAATTCTACTTGTGATGTACAAACTATAAGAGAATCTGGTTCACTCTCCCAGAGCAGTATTGGCTCTGTAAGGTTGACAGTAATAAAAGGTAGCATATACATTTAAAAAAAAATTAAAGTCAGCAAATATGGCTCTGAATACCCACTGGGAGAATGCCAATTCGTGAGGTAGTCTAGAGCAAGCACATTGTTATGCTGCCCCCAAACCAGCCCAAGAGGAAGATTGACTCCTGGACTCTCAATCCCCCTCCTGATCTCCATGTTGCTTCAGGAGTCACAGAAAAACTGTGACAGTTGTGACCTGTTGCAGCATATTCACCCCTACATACCAGTATAGCTACATCACCAGGTGCATTGGGGAAGTGGAGTCAAGGCTCCACGCACTTCTTGACCCTACCTGCCCATTCCCACCCATTTGCCTAAGGTGGGGAACACAGGAGTTCGGTGTAGCCGATTTCCCTTTGCATGCAGGAAGGTATGGTGTACCAGATTGAGGGAGTAAGGAGTTGCCTTATACTCTTTCCCTTACCCCAGCAAACAGGACAAACTATGATCGATCCCTAAGAAGGCACCAATTTTATTATCACTTTTCATAGCAAATCTATACTTCAGTTCTCTAGAAGAAATACAGAAACTGTTGTAATGAGTCCAGCAAGTTGAGACAATCCAACACAATAAGACTGCAGTTTAGGTGGGAGAAGAGGTTCAACTTTAAATCCCAAAATTTAGGAGGAGATTTAAGGGGGAGTTTGAATTCATCTTTCTTCTTTAAGTTTGAGTACCTCAAAGAATAATAATCTGAAGGGAAAAGGGAAAGAGAGACTTAACCAAAGCAAAATTAGCGAACAACAGGATAATGCAGTAGCCTATAGAGTAAGTACCAAAGGGGCCAAAATAAAATAATTCTGAAGAAAAAATAAGAGAAGAGAGAGAGAAATTGAAAAATAGAGTGGAAGAACTGAAAAAAAGAGAACATCACAATGGAAGAAACTGGAAAAAAAAGTGTTCAGCTGCTGGCTAATATGTTTGATTATTCTCTACTACCCCAAAAATTAGG